GCGGGATCCAAAGCATGGTGTTCCGCTGTTCGACCGCAGGTAGTTGGGGGCCCAATTAGTGAATTAGCTACTCATGAAAGGCTGCCCCGCCAACTAGCGAAAAATCCCAGGGTGGCCCCATCGTGCCGGTTAGCGACCAGGCAAGCGGACCCAATGGCGATCTTTGGGGGGGGGGGGGGTTCGGGCATCCCCGCAGTCTCCAGATCATGTTCCCGTGGGCACAGTAACTCTGATAGTATGGTTTGGTTGCTAATGCAACGCCTCGTTCAACTGCCACTCCCCATCCTTATTCACTCTCAAAACTTAACATATACATTAAAAAGAAAAGTAGTGTTAAACAGTGGTTGCACGTCATCTCACTAAAAGTGCACCTCACTAATATTCGAGTCTTGCACTCTAATCTCAGAGCAGTCCATCACCATCTTGAGACTGAGAAGCCGCACCTACTTTTCTTGACGGAGACGCAAATTGGATGTCCATAGAGTGCGGCGTACCTTGACTATCCTGGATTCTCCCTGTAGCAGAAATTCCATCTACGTGCCGGAGTACATGTGTCCGTCCACAATGACATCTGCTTCCAGCGTCACCTTTAAGACCCCACTTTTTCGACAATCTGGGTAATGATAGATACAGGTATTGATAAAATCCTTTATGCCTTTGTCTATTGATCGCACAGCGGTGATCAGGAGACAAGACGATTCTTTGATCACTTTAGTGAGGCTGCTGACGTGGCTCTAAATCGATATCCTACTGCACAGTTGGTTTTTCGGGGAGAATTTAACGCTTGTCACCAAGACTCGCTGTTCCTATACCAGAAGGCCGACCATGCTGGAAGAGAAACGTGGAATTTTGCTTTGACGCTAGGTCTCTCTCAGGTGGTAAAAGTAAGGACTAAGGTACCCGATGTCACACAGCAAATTGCTTGGATCTTCTGCTGACTGCAGAACCAGACAGATATGAAGTATACCTCTCCTTTGGATACATCTGACCACTGTCTGGTGAAATCTGTATCGTCATATTCTTCACCTGATTACGAGTCCTAAGTTGTTCGACGAATATGGCGGTATAAGTCAGCTAATTGGGATGAGATGCGACACTTTTTTGCATCTTATCCTTGGAGGTCTGTTTCTCCTCTGCGGATCCGTCGAGCTGCGCGGTTGCGATAACGGATGTGTTGCGTCAAGATTTGGGGTATTTTATCCCCTTCTCTGACGCTCCCACCGGTAGCAAAGCTCACCTATGGCTTAACGATGAATGCGCCCAAGCTAAAAAGCGCAAGCATTTAGCGTATCTATCCTGGGTTGACCTTCGAAACCGCAAAGCTCTGGATATTAGCTCCAACAAGAGACCTTTCAAACAGACCGTCAAGTCCTACAAAAAAGCATTACGGAAAGCTAGTCTCGATCACATTAAACATACTGGCGCAAAACTCTCTACCAGACCATCCGGCACTAGAGCTTTTTGGTCTCTCGCCAAAAGGGTCGAGATAAATTTCTGTCGGCCTACACTGCCTCCGTTGGTAAAACCGGATGGCATACTGGCGCATACGGCTACAGAGAAAGCGGACCTGTTCGCGTCTCTCTTTGCCTAAAATTCACTTCTGGACAGTGGCAACAACGTTCCACCTAAATAACCTCACTGCGGGACCTCTATGTCGGTGGTTCGTATAACAAATAAAGAGGTTCTTAAAACCTTGCAGTGTCTAGACGTGAATACAGCTAGTGGACCAGATGGTATACCAGCTATAGTTCTAAAGGCTTGTGCACCTGAATTGTCTCCTGTGCTGACACGCTTTTTCCGCCTCTCATTTAGGACTGGAATAGTGCCAAAATCCTGGAAGCTGCCCAACGTGCAGCCTGTTCCAAAAAAAGGTAGCCGTGCCGAGCCAGTCTCAATTACCTCCTTACTCTGCAAGGTTATGGAGCGTATATTGAACGCCCGCTTAGTGGCATACTTAGAACAGAATGACCTTTTTAGTGACAGGCATTATGGGTTTTGCCGAAATCGGTCAGCTGGGTACTTTATAGCATATGCCACACACGTATGAGGCGAGCCCCTCGAGAAAAATAGGGAAGCACTTGTTGTTTCACTTGATGTCTCGAAGACCTTGGACATAGTTTGGCACACAAGCCTTTTGGGTAAGGTTCCAGCGTACGGCTTATCGTCTGGTCTGGTTGAAAGGGTAAAGGACTTTCTGAGTGAACGTCGTCTCCGGGTCATCGTCGATTGCTGCTCATCTGATGGCGACTATGGCGACTAACGCCGGTGTTCCTCAAGGGTCCGTTCTCTCCGAAATTCTCTTCCTGCTGCATATTAATATCTGTTTATGCCCAGTATCTATGGGTATGCAGACGATAGCACAGTTGTGGAGAGATACCAATCAAGTCCTCGGGCCAGTTGGAAACAAATCTAGTCCGAAAGAGAAGCTATGGTAGAGCGTGTGAATCTCACACTACAGGCAGTCTCCGAATGGGGCGATGTCAATTTTGTGAAATTCAACGCCTCCAAAACATAAGCGTGTCTCTTTTTTGCAAAGAGCCAGCTCACCTTGGCTCCTTCTTTCCGAAATGTATCACTAAAATATACCGACCGCCTTCAGTTGTTCATGTTTGAGATATCCTCAAATCTGAACTTCGGGCGGTTCATTGAGTCCAAGGCCAAGGCAAGGCAAGGAAGCTGGGAGTCCTTGCAAAGGTGCGGCGATACTTCACGCCGGGACAGCTGCATACTTTATATAAAGCGCTAGTCCGGTCTGTACATGGAGTATTGCTGCCATAAATGGGCTGTTGCTGCAAAATGACACCTAGCAGCTATGGACTCAATGGATAGGTATGCTAAGAGGCTTATTGGTGACCCGAATTTGGTTAAAACCAATCTTACCAGCCTCGAACACAGACGTAAAGTAGCCAGCCTTTCGGTTTTCTACAGGTTGCATTTCGGAGAGTGTGCGCAGGAATTACATAATTTAATTCAACCTTCTCCCTTCCACCATCGGACAACCAGACGTTCGATCAGTCTCCACCCGTTCGTTGTTGACTTACGTACTATGCGTACAGCAAAGGAGTGGAATAAGTTGCCAGCATCTGTCTTTCCATCCGATTACAGTGTGGGTGTCTTCAAGGCAAGAGTGAATAGGCTTTTGTTAAGTCAGTGCGCTTCACCATCTTAGGCTACATCACCACTTACTATCAGGTGGGATCGTAAATAAGCGCTGACTTAGTAGAATATAAAAAAATATTTTCAAAGCACTCTCCACCAGCACCTATACAAAGTTTCGTACATATAACATAGTCCTGATGGAACGCTTCTTGCGCTTCTTCTGGCGATGCAAACTGTATTCCTCTCAGTTGATCTTTATTTTAGGGAATAATAAGAAGTCACGTGGCACCAAATAAGTTCTGTAAGGAGGGTAATATAAAAGTGATTGCAATGCTTCTAAAAAGAGTATCACCCGATCGATCTGACTGTTTCGTTCGTCTACTGGTCGTAAACGCGATTACTGATCAGTTATTAGGTTTTTCTATTAAAACTACTCAGTAGCAACCTGGCATCAGGAAGTTGGCGGTCTTTGTACACCGCGCCTCAGAAAGCAAGTGCAGCCTGCGGTTGATCTATCTCCGTTCGTGTCAGCTTACCGTTCCATCGGACTATAAGAGTGAGGGAATAGATAGTGCACCAGTGCTTGCGTATACCCAGCAACACTATAAACCTGTCCTGTACAAATGGATTATCTCGACTTTACACGTCTGGCCGCCGTGAACAAAATTTAGTGTGGAGGACACATTATGATTCGATTATTTCTTTCATGTTTTATTTTATTTATGCTCAAAAATGTTTTCCAATTTTTATATAGTTTTGTTTACTTTTTTATCGAGTAGAATAAAGGTACTTTTAGTTCTTACTTTTATTTTTTTTACTAATTCTTATCTTACTGTTAAGAAATGTAATATCTTTCTTTTCTTATTTAAAAAAAAATGTTATAAAGTGATAAAATCATGTGTTCAATAATTAGAGATTAAACATCAGAACATTCATTATCCATGTGTTAAAAACTTATTTTGAAGAGTACCTCACATTCTTTCCACAATCGCATGCACTAAAACTGTACCACTTCTATCTATTTCTGCCACAGTTGGCGGTACTTTGTGTACTCCAGTCTGAAGGCATGACAGTGAGAGCTAGTATACTGGTAACAACAGTCTGCGAGACTTTCCATCTGATGCCACAGAGGTGACAACGCATCTGAAGCCTTCTTTGTTTGAAGTTGACTTCAGGTATCCGTGGTCTGCGGTAACTACTTCATCATCAAGTGGACTGTAAATTCATTTGTCACTTCAGTTGTATACAAAGAAACAACATTTTAGCCTAAAACTACTCTTACTAAAGTAGAAAAGAGGCACCACCGTTAATATTACGTGTTCCGTGTCTAAATGAAGCATTATTATATGTAGTATTTCTCCTGATTGCGGTTAATTAAGCGGTGCTTTCTAGTTTATTGAATTTACGCAAGATAAAACCATTATTACAATAGCATAATTATGTGCGTGTGAGTAGTTCTTTGAATAATAAATTAATTTGAATTACAAGTTTAATTTTTATGTTTACTTAATTTAGTTATTATAAAATGATCTATAGGTTCTAACAAAATATACTCGTAGTTTTAATGAATAATGAATAATATTTATTATAAAATTTGTTTTAATTATATTTTTAATGACTCTTTATTTAAAGATAGTTAAAACGAATAAAGTTTATTTAAACAAGTCGATCTTATCTTGCTGACTTACATTTATAAGAAATGTTATCAGCTAAGGTGCTATAAATTACTTTGGTTTTGTCTGACAATTAAGATTCTCAAATGATAAATGTATTATGAATAAAGTACAGGAATATATCAAATAATACTGTAAAATAAATAAAAATATATATTTCATAATAAACATTAACAACTTTAAATCATTACTTTGTACAATTGACTAGACGATAATCATCCGCAACGATCACCACCATCCACTGGAGTAACCACCGGCGGAGTAGCCGTACCCACTTCCGAACCCACCACCGTATACGCCGCCGTAGCCGCCTCCATATACGCCACCGTTGCTGTAAACAGAGTAGCTGGGGGCAGCCACTACATTGTTAACGGACACAACTTGTGGCACGGTGACGACCTTGTTGACCCTTACTACTTGTGGGACACTCACAACCTTGGGCACGTTGACGACCTTGTTGACGGAGACCACTTGAGCTGCGGGCGCGGCGTAGCCGCCAGAGATGCCGCCTAAGGCAGGGATGCCGCCGTAGCCGGAGTATCCACCGCCGGAGTACAGCCCGCCGAGGAAGCCGCGCTTCTCGCGCACGCTACCGCCCGCCGCACAAGCCACGAGGCACAACACTGCGATCTGTATAGATATTCAAGAACAAGCTAGGTAAGGAATTGATAATAACATTAGATAGTAAATTATAGTGGCTATCCATTAAAAACATCACCCCTAAAATAGTAAAAATTAACATGTCATTCGACATGTAATATCAACAACGCGTAATACAACAGAAGGAAATGCCAAGAATACGTAAAAGAAGTCGCATGGCTTCCGACATACGCGGTAAAAACTTCTTAAAGTCTGACTCAGAATAAGCAGACCGGTGAAATTGATACTCAATTGCTTACCAGCCCAGTATGACAACGAAAATGGGTAATTTTCAGATAAATTAACAAATAATTGATCTAAAGCTTGAATTCTACAAGCTTTACTAATTTGTTATGTATTCTAAATTAAATTAACAATTTTTCTATAACTCCAAACAACGAATACTCACGAAGGCTTTCATGGTTGTGTATGACGATTAGATGTACTGGAGAGTGATATCGAGCTATGCACGGTCAGTCTTCCGCGCCAATATATATACCAACGATGCTCGGTGTTTTGCAACGTGTCCTCGCTCATCAAATATCACGTAAAATTTGGCTCATGTGCCGTTGTTTTCATAATTTAATCAATAAATTATGGGTGTGTTTCGATATACACTATGACTACTATAAGATTTTTTTTTATAGGATAAGGGTGACAAACGAGCACACCTGATGGTAAGTGGTTGCTGCGGCCCATAGACATCTACATCTATCCTCTGTTACAAATCAAAATGTAGATGCGTTGTCACCCGTGAGGACTAAGATGGAATGCCTCATTTCCAGTAAAAAGGATCTCCAGTTCTCTACACTCACCATACGAAACACAGCAGCGTTAAGCTGCTATTTTACGCTGGTATTCTGTGAGAGCGTGTTCCTTCCCCGGTCGAGCCTGATAGTAAGTGGACGCTGTAGCGTAGACAGCCATGCAAGCTTCAGGGGGCAAGGACGATTTAGACTAAAATCCCATGGTACCCCATACCCCATGATATCCCATCCACCTTATCTGCATATTGGCAGGGCCCCGGAAACGCTTTCTCAAACATCCGCGACCCCACTGGTATCGGCCGACCAATGGCGGCCCGTTCTCGGGAGAAGTCCTTGCACTTCTGCCTACTCTTTCCCAAGCAAGGCGCACCAGAACAACGGCATTATTCCGCGGCTACAAACTTCACATAAGGAGACCATGAGACCAGGAAAACGAGCACTCTGGCATTCACTTGCTTTCCTGCCCCAGCGGCGGATCTGATTTATGGCTTCGCCGCCAAGTAACATCCGGCCGTGAAGGCTAGGGAGAGCGGCGGCACACAATACAGATACTCTTCTCCTGCGTAGCCTCAACGCTACCGCAACAATCGTGAGGCCCCACCATTCACCGCGAAGGATAGGGTGAGTGACGCATCGCCATAATAACACACTTCCCTCCTCCTCCTCTGCGATTCCACCTCGGCTGTAGCGGGAAGGAAGAGAAGAAGAGTGGCCACTCCGATTGAACTAGGCAAGCCCACTCGGAGCGGCTACTTCGGGCCATCTCCACATTGGGCTATTGCTTTCGGGCTGTATTTTAATTCCTAATCGACGATAAAATGTAGATATCTATGGGTTGCAGCGTCCACTTGTCATCAAGTGGACTGTGGCTCATTTGTCACCCTTATTCTATTAAAAAAGTTTAACCGGTGTGCTGTCCAGAAAATCCCTCGATTTTACTCGCGCTGACTTTGTGAGCGCATTGTCACGGTCAAGAAGTAATTCGCGGAGCGCAATAATAATCGATCACTTGTTGCTCACAGCAGTGAATACTTCTGGCACAAATTTGGTAGAATAGTGGTCAGCATTGACGCTATTTCGATGTCGGACAATTGATGCCACTGTGAAAAAATAGTAATCAAAATCTTTCCTGCACCTTTCAATCAATTCACTTTGGTAGTTCAGTTCATTTTAGAATATCGAAACCATGGCCTAGTGGTTCGTTTCTGGATCGTGTTGATAAATCTTAGTTTCATCACCTGTGATAATGCCTTAAATATAACAAGCCTGCTTCAAATTTATTCATCATGTCAAGACACCTAAAAGTACCCTTAACCGACAAGAATGTGAGCGTATGTATGAGCATGTAAAGGAGGGAAGAAAAGTGTGTCCAAATGGAAGTCCTTTGTCTCTGCTTACCCCTCTGGACGTGAGTGTGTTTGTATGTATGTACGAGTATATGTCATGACACCATTCCACTAGGACCTGCTTGTTGGTTGTGCCACACCCATCGAAAACTATCCTCTTCACGCAAAGATGTTCGTATAAAATCTCTTGAACACTTCTCAGTCCAAACTACATTATGTGCTGAATCTCTTCATATAAAATTCGCCTATTCTCTTCAATTTATTTTGTCACTGCTAGCACGTTACTTTTTTAGACGTTGAAGGTTAAATCACATCTTTCTCTATCTATTTATTTAAAGTCAACTAGCTACAGCTACAACTAGCTACCGTGACCAAATTTCCATCTGGATGATAAGTTTATGCGTTTAGCTTTTTAAATATTTTATTTAAAATGTACTTAAAAATATTTTTCCTATTTTCAAATAGTTTTATTTACGTCTTTATCTAGTAGAATAAAGGCATCTTTTTGTCTTATTTAAAAAAAATGTTTAAAAAGTGATAAAATAAAATTAACATGCATTAGAAAATTTAGAATCCGTTAAAATCCGCGTGAAAAACTTTGTTTGAACAACACCGCACATTCCTCCCCTAATCACATGCTCACTGAATCATTTTCATTTATTTTTCACGAAGTGAAAGTAACAGAAACCATTTTATTTAATAAAGATTACAAATAATGCTAATTAAAAGTCACTCTTTTCTTTAATTACCACTGGTTCGAAAAAGAAAACCTCTGTTCTGGGAAGAACCAGCAAGAAACCCAGCGGAACTTTTTTAAATAACAGCTTACAAACATTAACAACACAACATACACAATTAACTACACAACAAATTAGAAATATCTTGGTAGCAATCACCTCATTCCCAGCAGCGGTTATAATCATCCATAAATTCCTTAATATTATAATTACCCCTTTTTCTACAAAGTTAGTTAAAGTAAAGTTTTTGAACTTTGAGTAAAGTCAAATTTTGTATATTTTCTGGGATTTTGTTGTAAAATCGTATACATCGCTCCAAGAATGAATTACTGACTCGGTGGAGTCGAGTTACTGATACTACCAGCTTGTGTCTGTTCCTAGTATTTACAGAATGAATATCACTTATTTTTGTAAAACTAATTTTATTTTTGTGTACATACATTAAATTTTCGTAAATGTATTGCCAAAATTAATATATTAATTTCCTTAAATTTTTGTCGTAGCGACTCTTTTGGTTTTAAATCATAAATAGGTCTTGTGGCCCTCTTCTGTAAAACAAATATAATTTAAGTTTCAGCCGCGTGTCCCGATAGCAAAATACTATATGACATCATGTAAATAGCTAAAGTAGACTAGTGTAGCTGTTTCAACACTGGTAAGATTTCTAATCTTTTTACAGCATATGCTGCAGAACTAAGTCTGCTAGTTTTGATATATCGGGGTTCCATTAAAGATTCACGTCTAGTGTGATTCCAAGAAAAATGGTGGTATCGCCAAGACTCAATTCCTCCTCATTCAAAATTACATTAGTATTTAATTGTTCGACATTTGGATTCACGAATTTCATACATTTCATTTAAGTACCATTTAAATGCAAATTATTAACATTGAACCAATTTACTAAATTAAAATATAGCACTTTTTACTTCGTAATATTTTAGTAATTGTCGTTATAATTTGAAAATTAAAGGAGTGTCATCAGCAAATAATACTATATTATGGTTATCTCCTGTTATGTAAGTTAAGTCATGAATGTATACAAGAAACAGAAAGGGGCTGAGAATTGATACTTGAGGTACGCCCATTTGTACTACCGACCCGGAAGAGCTCATACTGTTAATAACAACTTCTTGCGTTCTGTTAATTAAATATGAAAAAATTAATTTAAGAGCATACACTTCTTACACCTAAGTGTTGAAGTTTCCTGATTAATGTTTCATGGTGAATACAATCGAAGGCCTTGGATAGGTCAACTCAACACCGGCGTCAGATGTCGAGCGACCGTCGATTATTATGAAGTAAATTATAATTGATGAAGAAAATTACATTTGATGAAGAATAATTTTTTCAAAAATCTTACTAAGTGTTGGTAGTACAGAAATAGGTCTAAAATTAGCGGGGTCTATTGTAATACCAGATTTAAATAAAGGTATTACTTTACTATGCTTCATTAAATCAGGAAACACACAAGATTCGATACTAGTATTAAAAATAATGGCTAGTTGAGGTATGATTGTACCTATTACGAGTATAGATGCAATAACTTTAACGGAAATCCTCAAAGATCTGCAGTTTTATTAATATCAATAGTTTTAAAGTATTTATCATTATCTTTTTATGATACTTTATGAAATGTAAAATTTTTCGTACATGCATTTATATTTTATTTAAGTAATGATTCGGTGACGGCAGGAGAAGAATTCAGTGACTTAGTGGTTAAGATCGAAATATCAGTAAAAATCATTGCAACGTCCTGCTATGTTAGTACTTGCTGTGTTTTAATTTGATGGTTATAGAAAAAGAAATACACTGTTAATAATAGGCTGCAAGATTTTCCATCTGATTCTGCAGAGGTGACAACGTATCTGAAGCCTTTTTTATAGGAGAATGGAGCAAACGAGCATACGGCTCACTTGATAGCAAATGATCACCGCTGCTCATGAACAACTGCAAATCCAGGGGAATTGCAGATGCGTTGTCGGCCTTTTAAAAAAGATTACGATCTTTTCTTGAAGGTCCCTAAGTCGTATCAGTCCGGAAAAATCTCTATTGGTAGTCGATTCCACAAGGAAGTCGTGCGAGGAAGAAAACTTCTTTTAAGTCGCACAGTGGTGGACCGCCAGTCATACAGATATGGATGGTTTCACGAGTTTTGTCGCGATGTCTGATGGTAAAATTGTGCGGCTGGCACTATTACAAACAATTCCTCAGAACACTACCCGTAGTAAATGCGATAAAATACGCAAAAAGATGCAACATCTCTTCGCAGTGCCAGTGAGTCAAGCTGATCGGAAAGAGTTTGGTCGCCGACGATTCGAACAGCTCTGCGCTGGATGCGATCAAATGGAAGGAGCTGACATTGGGGAGCCCCATCTCAGAGATAGGATCAGTGTTTCATGTGCAGCCGAACCTGTGCCTTGTAAAGTTGCAGGCGGTGCGCCGGCATGAAATACTGTCCCGCTCTGCTGAGCACGCCAAGCATTTTAGAAGCCAATTTGACCTTCTCCTCCAAATGACCACGGAACTGCACGTCACTCGATATGTTGACGCCGAGGATTCCGATACTGGCTG